AGCTCACAAGAGTCAATTTTGCATAATTTAACAACTTTAAGTATGTCAATTAGTATCTATTTTTCAATACTTTCACAACTACAACGGTACTACTGCATTGGGGCACAAACCCTTGTACATGAGCTTGTCCTTAGTTTGCATATGGGAAAGAAGCAGATTGGAATGATCAAAAGACAGCAGTTTAAATCTAGTGTACACAACTCACAGAACACTTGAATCACTTAGCACAAGCAGAGATATTAAGTAAGTAAAAGCATAAAAAGTAACAGATCCACCAACATGATTTAATAAGCACAGTCCATTTACATGCAAATCAGACCAATTACCTACAAACAGCATCCGCGTGAGTATCATCGCACACAGGGAAGTATCATGGCTGATTTACTAAATGTTGAAATATAAGCCTGTGTGTGGAGTGCACTGTTTACTCTGGGCTCATTCAGCATGGATTTAGCACTTGAGCTGGGAAATTATTACAGTGTGAGGTATCCAACAAAAAACGCCGTAATTACTTAAGCTCATTTCCATTTAAAACACTAAAAGGCTGCCGTTTTATTATGATAAAGGAGCCAAAGTGCAAATGTTCTCAAGCTGTGAGCTCAAATCATTAACTACTCAGGAAAAAAACAAGTTTGAGGGAATAAATGGGCCATATATAACAAAAACTGAGGCGCTGGTTTTACTTGAAGTCTACACAGCATAAACAAGTGGCTGTAACTTCAGATCTCTACTAATAATGTAATAATAATACACTACTTAAGCATTACATTATGACAGCTCTCAGCTCTATTATGATTTATAATCAATTTGTTATACTGTTGACATTGATTTAACTGTTTAATTGTTCAGCCATTACTAGGCCTATCATGATAATTACTATATTCACTTGTAGTTCAATATGATTCCTGGAACAATATATTTTCAGTATTTATTATGTGTACAATTTCTTTGCAGTAATGGAGATATTTTATGTAATAGCATAAGATTTGAGCTGTAGTGGGTAGTATAAGTAACTTCTCTGGTTAATTATTGGTTAATTTTGCTATGTATTTGTTGCAGCTCAGGGCTTTTAATGATACTGTCTATTAAAAAAAAAAGTTTAGGACTATAATCCCGCTTTAAAGTTTTTGTAACAATGGCATAAATTAGTTTCAGTATTATCGTTGTCATCTATACTTTCTATATAGTGCTTCAAAATGTGTTTTCATGACAGGCCTTGCCATCATAATCTGATCATTTTTGAAAGAAAAAACTCCATCGGCAGTGTAAATAATACGTCTGATTGATGGCATGGAAATTCCCTATAGGACTTTAACAGAATTATTTACCATAGTAAAATTGAGCAAGTTTGAAAAGATTTGAATACACACAAAATATTCTGGCTTTTTCTTACCCCAATGGGCTCCAAGAACTCTTAAGTTATTGAATGTCTGTGTGTAAATTAATGCCTGCAGGAAATGATTGCACTGGTTTCATAAACAATGGATAGATAAACAGATAGAGACTTTATTGATCCCGAAGCAAAGTCAAAGTTTGGTAGCTGCTACATAGAAACAAACATAGCAATGCAGAAAAGAAATTTAGCTAGTGAAAGTTAATAATGGTGAATGATGCAAAAGAGTTGATCAAAAATAAAAATGCAAAAGGTTTATGTTGTAATCTTTCAAAAATGGGTATAGAGTGACATTTTGGCAGTTTTGTGGATGATTTTACAATCCTTTCACATGTGTCTGATAATGTATTTTCATTTTTGCCAATATTGCCCACCTCTAATATCTCCTTATAGTGTATTTGCTAACAGCGAATCTAATGTAACAGGTGTGTTGTTAGTGGCACCTTTATATTAGGCTAAAAAACAAGTGACAGGCTGTTCACCACACACAGCTCTCACACAGCTGCAATGTGAAGCATATGAGTGAAATGGGCTGTTTCTTAGATAACTGTGACAGTCCATATGACAGCAATGATGTCTTTTAAATGTCATGTGAGGAAGCAGCTACACAACACTGGAAAGTAACACTGAGAGATGAAACAATCAGATGTCACACATTCCAAATGCATTAAAAGTCATTGTTGACAAGTGACACTTTTATTTGATGTTTACCTTAAAGCTGCACTATGTAACTTTTCTAATGGAGGGTCTGTCGAAAGCTTTTCTTCATGGAACTGTTATTGCCATGTCTGACGTGTTGGTATTATGTATTATTATTAATACAGTATGGTATTCAATATTTCTATTTTCATGGAGACCAAACTAGACCCAGTTACAGGTCAGATCTGTGGAGAGGCAACCCCACAGACAGAATTCCTGTTTTTCTAGGTATTTTTGAGTATAAAACCACCTGTAATTTAATCAATGTAAAGCAGAGCTATTTATTGTCATACTGTGGAACATTCCAGGCAGAGCAATGACATATCCACAGAAACAAGCCATTGATGCATTCTGAACCGAAAAGTTACACAGCGCACCTTTAAAGATGCACTATTTAACACTTTTTAAAAACTTTTTTACAAGACTGGATTTGGCTGATATTTAATGTTTGTGTATCTAGTGGTTTTTGTGTAGTTTAGTGTCTACATTGGGTGTAGAGACAGAGTGGGGTGTGGGAGGGTTTTTGTTTTGTTTTTGGTCTATTTTTTATTTTTGTTTGTGTCATATCAAAATTGAAAAAAATTAAATAAAAATTATATAACATATTCAAGCTTCTTTTCTCCTTTTGTTGGGTCACAAACCATAGGCCACATCCAAATATGTGTTTGTCTGATTTAAAGCCAGATCTGCACTCTGTATTTATCTAAGCTTGGGAGTGGAACTAGTATAAAAATACATCAGCTCATAAATAATCTGTTGGCTGGAATTAGAAAATGTCAAACTCTAACAAACCTGCATGATTAAATAGCTACTTCAATAAGAAAGCTGACAGCTACGTGACAAAATAATGACCATGCAGGGAGGGTGATGTTTCCATGCAGTATATATTGTACACTTTATGTATGCCAAGTGCAAATGCATAGTTAAAAAACAGATCATGTTCACTATATTCCTGACGAGTGCACATCTCAGAAAATGCTGGTAAAAGAACAGTTTGCAGTTTTGACACCATCAAAGGCTCCCCCAGTCAGCAGCTGTCAACAGTGGCAGCCAAACGCCACAAAGGGCCCATAACATTACTGCACACATGCAATCATGCAAATCTACGCAAATACAAAGAGGCACAAACACACACATCAGATCGGACACAACATTATGACCACCTGCCTATCATATGTGGTTACGCACTGCAAAAGAAACAAAGTTTCATCATGATGAGTAAATATCACTTGACAGGTAAAATTATTTATTGATTTTAAGTTATTTAAATGGCCCATATTGCCTTTTTTCCTGTTCTATTTTATAATTTTGTATGCTCATCAAAAATATACCTGGAGTTGTGTTTTGTTCCATTCATGCATGTTTAACACACAAACCCTGCATATTTAGGCAATTCTTCTCTCAGACAGAAAACACTCCAACATTCCAACTTGTGATGTCTTGTGGTAATACAGGAAGTGCTCCACTGTGTTTTTAAACTAAACCTTTACAATAATCATTTTGGTCATTTCAGCCCTGGAATTGCCAATCTCTACTGAACTAAAAGTAAAAGCAGCTGTTAACTGTAAACTACCACTTCATGACATCACAAGCTTCTTCCTCTTGTAGTCATAATCTTATGGCCAATCCCTTAAAAAACCTAACAGTTGAGTTTATTGTGATGGTTTTCATTTTAAAAACATTCACCACTTCTCCCGTCCACATTACAAGAGCTGTCCAGGCCAAATTGAATAGCTCTGTAATTAGCAGTGACCAGAACAGGTTGAACTTGTTAACAGATGAGGTGTGGCGAATTAATGATCATTTCAAACTGATGACTCCTCCATTGAGCCGTCCGTTGGGGATGTCACGCTGTTATTTTTTCTGCAGATCTGCATTGTACCATGATATTACACTGACTAAGCACACACGTAGGAGGCAGTAGTCAATCACGTCTGATTAATGCCACCGCTAAGCCTTACATGGAGGTTGTAGTGAGGGTGGCTTCTGCTGTGATCCATGGGCTTTTAAATTAGGTCATCATGGTAAAATATAGTTCTATGTGCATGTGTAATATGGTGGCACTGTTTATTAATACCGCTATAATTCAACTAGCCTGTATTCCCATAATGATTTGTGGAATAATATCAGCCGGAAAATCCCACTGGGAGATGTGTTTTATTTGTCATTTGGGACGTAATGAGATAAAGAGATTAGAGGATGTCACAACAGAGAGCCCCCTTCCCCATGATTCACTTGGTATTAGGCTTCAAATATGTGGCAATACATGAATATATTTGCATATGAGTATCAACTGTGACAGATCAGTGAGATGTCCAGCATTCCAAGATAAAACCACTGTAAAATGTGAAGCAGAGAAAGTTGAACACTAAGACACCTGCAACTATCAGCTCCATTTGATTACAACTATAACCACAAAATATGAGCTAACAGCACCAATAGTCACACAGCACAGATTGTATCCACAAATTTGGCACACACATAAAGGACAGCACTGATCAATAACTGTTGCTGACTCAGTTACTAAAGCTTTTCCAGCTTTTAAGTCAAAAATAACAATTAGCAAAACACAGTAAATGTCAGTAGAATAGTTGGCTATAATGTTTGCCCATAGTTTTATTAGACTATCTCTGTACAGCTCGTCATAAGCACAACATCAGCCTAATTGGGGACTGTCAATGCCAACTTCACATGCATTATCCAATCTATAAAGCAGCATTAAAAAATCAGCTCCCTTGTCCAGGGTCTACCTGACCTTCAATCAGCAGTTAATGACAGACAATCACCAGTCCTCTCCATACAGAGTATGAGTGGGGCCCGGAGCACGCACACTTTAGGAGCCACTCCACAGATGAACAACCACAGCACAGCATAAGGTAATCACAATGCTGATCCAGCGCGTGCTTACCTCCAGACGCTCCAGGCTGATGAAGCTGGCAATAGCAAATCCATCAATGATATCCTCCTCCTGTGAGCTGGACTCCCTCCTCTTCCTCCTGGGGGTCCGCGGCTGAGCTCTGGTGGAGGCTGCGGGGCGCGGTGCCTTTTTAGCGGTGTCCCTCCCTGGACTGTGTCCCTCCCTGTCGGAGCAGGAGGAGTTGGGCTCTGGGCTGCAGCGGGCTTCTCTGCTCCCTGCCTCCCTCAACCTGCGCACCCTTTCCCGCTTGGTCCGGCATCTGCGACCCGTTCCCTGCTTCAATTTCCCATCCATGTTGTTAGAGAGCTGAAAAACTGGGCAATTACAACTCTACTGTGTGAATCAAAGCGCACGCAGATTACACACACAAAAACGAGGAATTTTACGGTGCACTATACCGTGAAGATGTATGTGTGCCTAAACAGCAAATATCGCCTTCTAGCACTCAGTGACCTTGAGTATAAAGCTCCCCAATCTCCATTACGATAAGCAAATGTTCAAGTATCCCACACGCGCGATAGCAACGCTGATCCACGCGTTCAATTTGTCACGAATCTGCACGGTGTCGACGTCCAAGCAGGTGCAAAACAGTTCAAAATCCACGCATTACACTCGCTTCGCAACTTTTGTTGCATCGGAATAACAACAAGCGATGAGGCAGCCTTGTGTGCTCGCTGCAAAGCGCAGACAGCGCAAAGAAATCATGTCGCTGCCGCTGCTGCCCGTTGTTGTTTTTCCACCAGCTCGATCCATGATCCAATGCTGTCAAATGAAAAGATCCTATCCGTCCGAAACCAAGCAATCGTATCTTCTGTAGTCGTGAATACTCCCGTTGACTTAAGTCATATTCCTCTCCACGCGCTCCGTCAGTGGAAACGGATCCAAAGTGAGACAACGCGCTGTATTCCCTGAACGATCCGAACCGTCCGAATAAAGACAGGCATCCAGTGAGTAATCAAACTCCATGAGGCGACGAAGCGGTCTATTCCAGTTCAGATCGCGCTGACTTCCCCATAATCCTGCTCCAGTCCTGCTCCCGGTTGCTCAGTTGCTCAGCGGCTCTTGGTATTTCTATTGCACATAATAAGGCTTTGATAAGTGTCCTTAAAGCGACAGGAGTGATTAAAAGCCCCTCCTCCCCCCACCTCATTCCCTTCATCCGAAATTAAGAGACACACAGTCAAGCTTCAGAGAACCCAAGAACTGACGTATTTCCGCCACTTCTGGTCTACAATTTACCCTCGGAAGGAAGCTGGTGTGAGAAAAGAGAAAGAGAGCAGGAGGGATCACGCTCTGTGGTGTTAGGCTCTGTCTGTCACACATGCTGCATGCCTGTGTCATGCTCCATCAGGACTTAAGCGCTGCTCAGCTCACACTGTTAAAACAAATGTCTATCACACGTTGACAAGTTTCCTCTCTGTTCAGAAAAGTGACATTTGGACTCCCCATCAACAGCCTGCCTGGTGTAATTGTGGAGAATATTGGTCACAGTACTTGACCCTGACCGGAGAGCCATGTCGTCCGGGCTGCAGAAAGGGGAGGGGGGTAGGGGGCTTCCACAGGTTCCCATGGGAAATCCAGGCAATTGTCTGAAGAGGAAAAGTAAAACAGAACTGTATTTCAATCAGTAGAAATGAGGACAAGGCTAATTATATAATGACTCCAGTTATTTCCATGAGCTGGCCACTGCTGCCACTTCAACTCCAAAGTGCACTACCCACACTTTTAAATGGTGTTAATTCATGCATGTTTAAGTGGGCTTGTGTAGAGTTTATAGTGAAGGTTATAATTAATGACCTGTGAATATACATTTAGTCCACCTTATGTCAGATAGAGTCTGATCCATCCTTTTCTATTTGCTCTTTGAAACGTGACTTTAATGTCTTAGTTATAACACATTTCAATAGTTTTTCGTTTTTCTGAAGCGTGTATTTAACACAGTTGTAGAGTCTTCATACAGATGTTCTTTAGGATAACTTAACTGCAACGTCAATGTGTAGAACTCATTATGCAGATCATATTTGAGCTTAGTATTACGGAAATAGTATTAATGGTATTAGTATTACAGAAATATGTAATATCCTAAAAAGCAAAAGTACAGTTGAACTTGCTTTAAACGGGGAGTCAGCAGTTGACTCTCCTGATCTTCTCTGTTGACAAAGCCACCTATGCTTTGTACTTCTTAATATGAAGTCAGACACTAAGAGTGTGAAATGATATAGTGTTACTGTAATACCAGCATCTTAATATGGTGAGGAGCTCATAAAGGGAGGTGTGAGCAGAATACATTAGAGGTGTGGGGATATTGCTCTGAATCCTCCCTGTTGTGATTTCATTTTCACAGTACAGAAAGCAACCACAGCCACATCCAAATATTCACTGCAGTACAAGTTTTGTTTTACAGTTAAATTCGCTTCATTTTGGCTGAAAAGTACACATAAAAATGAAACTGTTATGCAAATTTAGAACAGATTAGCATAACTAAAGTTGAAACAATGACATCTTGTTTGATTTGATGAAAACAATGAAGCTACAAAAAATATAGGAGTGATTTACTTTATTCATAATGCTCAAAGTTGCTTTACAATTTTGTGCATAATTAATTTATTCCATACTCAGTTACAATGTTGCCACAGCTGCCCCAGGGCAGGCTGCCAAATTGGCCCCTTCGACCACCGCCAGTCACTTTTATATCTTTTTCATCCATCACACTCTTAATTAAATGTAGATTATTTTTGTTAAAGTGTTAAAGTAAGTAATAAAGTAAGTAATAAAGTTGAATGTAACATCAATAATTCTGCAATGAACTGCACTAAATATTGCAAGACATTTTACTTTATGTTTTTTATAGCATAGTATTTTAAACAATTTTGTACTTTAAAGGTGCAACATGTAACTTTTTGGTAGGGAGTCTGCCACTTGCTTGCTTCCATGGAGATGCCATTGCTCTGCCTGGAATATCCCACATTATGATATTACACAGCTCTACCTTACATTTATTCAGTTACAGGTTGTTTTACTGCTCAAAAATACCTACTAAAACAGCCATTTTGACTGTGAGCAGGATTGCCTCTCCACAGATCTAACCTGTAAGTTGGTCTGAACTGGGCTCCATGATGATAGAAAGGTTTAATATCATATCATGAAACATTCCAGGGAAAAAAAAAAAAAAAAAAGACAGACCCTCCCACAGAAAAGTTACACAATGCACTTTTAAAATAAGTCTATATAAATTTTGTACAAAAATGGGAACCTGAGCTGGTGTCACTTCCATGTTTCTCTAACCTTTGACCACTGTGAATACACTTCTTTGTTTGAACAGATTAAAAAACTCATTCAGTAAGCAGATTAAATAGAGTAGTAGTATGCGTGAGCACCAGTGTTACAGAGGGGGCAGGTATGGGGAGAGTGAAGGGGGGAGATTAGCCGTTTCTCCCATGCTACAATTTGCTGTGGGCTTAATCCGCAGTCTCTAGCTCCTATACCTTCCAGCCAAACACTATGAAATACTTAACCCTATCTGTGTACCAACTTAACCAAAGCCATGTTTTATGATCTTAACACTGTTTTTTATTCTTTTCAAGATAACCCTTCATTTGACGTCTGTGCGGTCAAGGCTGCTTTGAGGGTCATATTTCATTGAGATAGCAGAACCACAAACGCAGGAATGTGAAATAAAGAAAAGTCTTCTCTCAAGCGAGCCGAGGTACCTTTTGTAAAGAATATAGCAGCGCACAGATCAATAGAGTGGGTTTCGCACTAGCACAGTAGACAGCTGTACAGACACACGAATCCTCCAATGGCACAGGAGAAAATGCATTGGTTTGAATGTAATAATGTTTTGTATGAGTGGAGATGCAGCAGGTAAGACAAAATTGTAAGAAATAAGAGCACTATGGATATCTCTCTGAAGCTATTTTGAGAAGGATAACAGAAATGGTGATGTTGCAAAGAAGTTTGAACAAGTTGAGTCGAGTTGAAATTCAGTTTACAGATTTTGACAGACTAGTCAATAGAGCTGCATATTTTGAGGAAAAAGTCTAATCACATTTTTTTCTGACAAATACTTTGACACTTTTGTACATTGTAAACTGTAGCATTCACATTTTAGAACATATTATAAAAAAGAATTCCATATATTTGTAATAATGATGCTTTTGTGTATTATTAGATGTTGCTTAAAGGTGCACTGCGTAACTTTTCTGGTGGAGGGTCTGACACCTTCTTGTCTCCATGGAGATATGGAGACAGGTTAATGTTCAGATCTATGGAGAGGCAAACCTGCATATTAAGAATTCATGTTTTCTATGGTATTTTGAGCTTGAAACATATGTAATTTTAATAAATCTAAGAGAGTTATGTTTAATTAGCCTGATTCATCAGCCGGTTTCACTTCGTGGAAACCATCTGGTAAAGAAATAACATCTCCATGGAGACACACAGTGCACCACACAGTGCACCTACAAAGACACGCTTTTCCCATGGAAGGTCTGCTTGTCTCCAAGGAGCTATTATTGCTTTGCCTATATGTTCCACTCTATGGGATTAAACGTATCTCTCCATGGAAACAAGTAGGGCAGATTTGTGAAGAGGTGCCCCCACTCACAAAAATAAATAGTTTTTTTTACAACCATTTTATGCAAATCTGACTTTGGAAACTTTTAACCATGACGTCAAAATATTGTCCCCTCAAACCTGGAGTTGTGTTTTGTTTAATTTGGACATGTCCTTTTGAGCTGATACACGCTCTTTACTACATCATCTTATTCCAATATATTTATCCAACCTTTGCGAACAGATTTCTTCCTAAGCCTTAGTACTTTCCCAACACTGCTTAAAATTCAGTGTAGCGAGTTAGTGTTATTTATGAGAAAATATGCATGTTATATCAGCTTGTGTTTTGACAGCAGCACAACTGCAGTCTGTAAAATTGTCCTTCTGACAGATAAATTGATGCTATTTGCTAACAGTTATTAAATAAGATGCAACACTTTTGTACATAGAAACCATCAATGTCCCTATTTAGTCCCAGCAGAGTACAGTGGAGCAGAATACTGACTGAGACATCATCATTTGCTGATCTTTCTGTCACCGAGGAAAAGCAGAAGTGCATGGCTGTAGCCTATAGGGTTTTGGACTGCCTCACCATGGACTAATTCAGTAGTTTGGTGCCAATTTGTGATACACACTCTGGGGCCTCAAGCTACAAACTCTCTCTCGGGAAAACCATGGGCTGCTACATGAATGTAAGCATCATTTCACATCTCTTGGCACACTAAATGGAAGATATCTTTTGACATGGTGTTAAAGTGGAGCAAATAGGTTGTGACTGTGTATACTTAACAGATGCATTCATCTTCACTCTTCATACAACTAAAACTAAAACTGAAAAAAGTAAAATAAATGTTTTAAAGGTCCTGTATTACACAAAATGGATTCTTGTGCGCTTTAAGCCATGTTAGAATGTTGTTATCTCATCAAAAACATGCCAATTGTGTTTTGTTTCATTTGAGTAATCTTTTATTATTAGTCTGTCTTCATCTCCAAAGCTCAAAATGCTCTGTTCTACCTTGTGATATCATGTAGTTGTAGTTTTACCTTTTAGCTTTTGTTCTGTAGAGATCGACAATTTCAGGGCTGATATGATCAAAATTATTCTAGTGAAGGTACATGGAGTTTAAAAACACAGTGGCGCACTCCCATTTGATAGAAGAACTCATGTGAATGAAACAAAACAAAACTCTATGTATGTTTTTAATGATGAAACAGCATTATAATACAGTAAGGGTGTAAAGATATCCAAGTCTCACGATACGATATCGTCACGGTATGAACCTCATGTTACGATATTTATTGTGATATCATGGGAAAGCTCACGATATGGCGGGGAGGCTCATGATTAGGGATGTAACAATATCCAAATCTCTCTGTAAGATATTTTCATGATATACATCTCACAGTACAATTATTGTGATATTTTGTAGAGGCTAACAAAACTATTAATATTATACTTTTTCTTCTTAAAATGCCTTGACAAAATTTAATCCAAAAAACTAAGACTTAAAAGTGCTTAGAACTGTTACTTCTTCATGTAGTCTACATTGAAATGGAGCAAAGGATTATGGTCTATGTAGTTCCCAGTCTTTTTTTTTTTTTTTTTAGCTATTGCTGCAC